TGAAGTAAACAGATAAAAAATATAGAATTTAGCAAAAAGTAGCATGTGCAGGGAGGATAAAAAAAGACTGAGGAGGTTACGTACGATCGATAATTTCGAGGGTACACTCGGCAATAAAGGCCTGTGGAACACGCTAACATCACTGGAAACGGACGGTGGGAGGGCTGGCGATGAGAATGCAGCAGCTACGTAGTTTATGCTATCAATCCATTTTTGAACTTCACCTGGATCGCTAAAAAACCTTTATCCTCAATAAAAAGCAAATGTATTTTTTGTACCACGACCCGTTTAATCTATAAGAATAAAAAAGTTGACTAAGACTGTACTCTCAAATCATGTACAGGAAGCTATACGCAAAAAAGAAAGTCAAGAAAGCTTAGAAGTCAGGGATTACAAGTAAAATAATTTTACCTAGTCTGGAAAAGATATTCGCCTTTGTTTGCAGTACGCAGCCTAAAAACGTGCTGCCGTTTATTATAATCTTTCGGCCTTTCAGCAACCGAATGATGCAGCATTACCAAGTTCTTGTAAGTCTCATATCTTCCACGAGCAAACCCATTATCATCCTTGTGAATGTAAAGTATCATACCCCTTACTCGAGCGTACCTCATATGCCAGCCTCGACGCCCGAAAGGTGCTAAAGAATGAATATTAAGGTCTGAAACAACAAAAAGCTCCTTCACTTCCAAACACCCACAATAAATTTCCGCCGTCCTGCGATAGCTCCGCATTTACTAATTAAAACTTATAAAGCGAAGTCCTTAACGAATAAGAAATAACGCAAAAAAACCCCAATGTCTCCTGATAGCTACCAGTCATTATAACTCAAATACAGGAGGAAGTAACAAGAGAATGGATACGAAACAGCGTTTCCTCGAAAAAAGCTTAGTAACACAAAGCAGTCAAAGGTTAATTTCCCATCCACCTGCTATCCACCAGGAGCTATTTCAAAACTCAATAGTGAGGACGGCCCTACACCAAAATAGTTAATGAATGCAATAAGAAAAAATACTGAGAACTCACTCTATCAATAAAATAATACAGCTAAACAAAAAAATTACTAAGATTTAGCTATAGGAAATCTTTACTTCGTTTGCCATCGTTATCGTAAACGCACTTCATTACCACCCATCCTGCCTTGTACTCGATTTGATCATCCTCTCCAATAGCAGATTTAGACTTCCGCATTGATCTTCTTGCATTTTTGGAACTTGAAGTTGCTGTATCACCCGATGGTGCCCTGAGATTTAACCCTTCTTCTTTCGAATCTCTTAAAACGATGGTGAAATAAAGACAGAACAATAACAAGGCAATGAACGAATAAAAAGAAAACGACAACCAGAATCATAGCGGTAGAAATTCAGTAATATTTATATTCGAAAGTAAAATAAATCTTGGAAACAAGATTCTCACTCGGCCCATTTAATTGGCTGTTCCTTTATCGCAGTATACAGTGTTTTTAACAGCGCTCGATCATACACATACTCCGTTTGACCTAAGTTTTCGATAAACTCACGGCTGGACATCCTCTTACCAACATTCTAAAAACAGTGAGTTTGTCTTGACACAAATTAAAAAGTTTAAGTGAGGCGGAAAAAAAACTCATGGTGAAATCTTAAGCGGACATACTTCATGCTCTGACTATGTAACTAACCAATTACTCACCTCACCATGCAAATCCGAATTCAGTAATAATAATGCACATGTTAACGCATAAACCTGACCTGTAAATATAATTCTCGTAAATAAAAACTTTTGAAAACATCAAACCCCATTCAACAAACTAAATATACTTAACTAAACAATGCCTGTAAAAGTAAGCAAAACGAACCTGGAGAAGAAAATAATGTTGGATTGCACTGGAAATATCGGTTACCAAAATGTTCAATGATCCTAGTCCGCTCTTGACTTTCGCCAATAAGGCAAAATCGTGAAAGAAACTCTCTTATTGCTGCATCTAGTCGGATTCCTGAGAAGTTAAATAACCCGCAATACTCCTCCGAAACCATCCTCCCAAAATCGTTACTGCAATGACGAAACAGATAGACAACTTGAAATTTGTTCAGCTTTAAAAATATCAGCAGTGAAGAAATAATTACTAGAACCACTGATATTTAAAATGTCTTCAAAAGGGCTTAACTCTTTGCAGGCAGCAAAAACGATTCATTAATGTAGCAAGACAGGACTATTGCTTACTTTTTAGACAGATGAGATGCGACATCAGTTTTTTTGAAACCATCGAGGGTAAAGAGCCGTCGAGCAAGTCTCACTGCTGCATCTGCATCTGTTTCTGTCTTTTCTTGATCTGTAAAAAATTAAACAGACAAGACTACAAACTATATGCTACAAAGAAAAAGTAACAGCTACAACAAATTTCAGTCAATTTGTTTAAAAAACCACTTCTTAGCAGGAAAATATATATATATATATATATATATATATATATATAT